ATTTTGGGGGTGAAGGAGGCGGTAAGCGTGGGACTGGGTGTCCCGTTGCTGCCGTTGCCTCCCCTCCCCATTCTTCGCATTGGCTGCTGCCCTGATGTCTCCTGCCGCCGCTGCTTCCTCGTAGAACAGGACTCTGCAAGGCTTGTGCTGTTGCATACACGAAATGCAGCACCGCCACGAGCTTCATCATACCAGCACAGCTGGCGTCCTGCCGCTTGCAGCTGTGCCAGTATGTTGAACCTCGCGGCTGTGCCGCAGGTCCTGCATGCAATGGCACAAGCCTTGCAGAGTCCTGTTCTACGAGGCAGCGGATGAGGCGCGACGAGTCTCACAAAGACTCGTTCCTGGCAGTGGGGCGGGGGAGAAGTGAGACGCGTGGAGCGAGACATGGCTCCCCTTGCTGTCTCACAGCCCAACACGTCCCGTCCCATCCAATGGCAACAGCAACCTGGCTGCTTTCCTTCCCCACCGTCTCTTTATTGAGAGGGGTGGCAGGTGAGCCGGGGAAGAAGCGGGACGTGCGTCTTACCTTTCTAGTACCGTTGCGTTCCTCGCCATTCTGTCCAGGGAGACACATTGTAAAAAAACCTTTCTCGCAAGTTCAGCCAAACTCCTTGAACTCGCGAGAAAGTTTTTTCTACAACGTATCTCCCTGGACAGAAAGGCAAGGAAGGTGATGGTGATGGAAAGGTAAGATGCGCATCTCACGGCCCAACGTGTCCCACCCCAATGGCAACAGCAGCCTGGATGCTTCCCTTCCCTTCCCCACTGTCTCTTTATTGAGAGGGGTGGCAGGTGGGGCGGGGGAGAAGTGAGATGCTTCTCGCCCACCCCACCTGCCATTCCCAAATTGCACCCTAAATGGGGGCAGGTGGGGGTGGGTGGCTAAGTGAGGGGCAGCCACCCTGTCATGCCTGGCAGGGTGAGTGGAGCGCGTAGTTGAGGGGGGTTATTTTGTGGGGATGGCTTATATTATCACATGTCCTGAAAAGCCCGATTGGCCTTATTTTCAGGACATGTCTTATTTTCAGGGAAACACGGTACTAATAAGTCTAAAAACCACTTCCTATATCAATGTATGCATGACTTGCGTTAATCTACCATATAGCTTCATGGGTCAATGGTGCCTCCCATGAGCTTGATTGTTGATGTAGGCCATCATCAGATATAGTAAGAAATTTTGGAATACTGTATCATACAACATCCTAAAATCTGCTGTGGTTCCTTGAGCTCCATGACATGTTCTTCAACTGAAGGTATTGCACAATTTAGCACCTGGAATTGTTTTGTGGGGTATTACATGTCTCCTAATGATATGTTTTCTTTGTTGACTCTGGTATTCTTAAAGAGTTTCTTTATAACCTTCTTTTTACAACGCTTCACAGATTTTGAAACCTCTCATCTCGAAAATACAACTTTGGAGTCTCTTACAACATTTGTTTCCAACATTATGTGTGGCAACATGAGCCACACAGAAATTGGATGTTAGGTATGCTTTTGGTAATTCCATTTCCCTCTGTTTTCCCAAGAACGTTGAAGCACCATTTCCCCAAAATGGCAAACGTGGCATTATCATTATCATTGCCCCAATTTACTCTTTGGTAGGCAGCATAGCGTCCGGTTTTCTTATTCTGAAGCACTCAGTTCTTTCAGGATGAAAAGGGCGTTCTCCAATGTCATTTCAATAATTGCCTTTTCGTGCATCAATGTAGAGCAGGGGTGTCAAACTCAAGGCCCGCAGGCCAGATCTGGCCTGTGGGGTGCTTAAATCCAGCCCTCGGGGCCAGCCTGGAAATATCAAAGTACCGGCCTGCGGTGCCTCTGCTGGCCAAAACAGGCCACATGGAGGCCCCCCATGGCCCGTTTTCAGCCTCCCCAGCCTCCTGCAGCACTCTGCCAGCCAGAAACAGGCCACATGGAGGCCTCGTGAGGCCTCTGCGTGTCTCGTTTTTCACCGGCAGAGTACTGCTGGAGGCCAGGGAGGCTGAAAATAGGCCACACGGGGACGTTGTGAGGCCTTTGGGCACCCCGCTTTGGCTAGCAGGGTGCTGCAGGAGGCGTCCATCCCGTCTCCCCGCCAGCCCGCGGCGCAGAACTACAATGCTGATCCAGCTCTCAAAGAAATCCAGTTTGACACCCCTGATGTAGAGTAAAACACACATGTGCTTTGAATTGCCTCTAAAACGTCAGTCTCATCACAAGCTGCTGAATGCATGGAAAGAGGGAAACGGGGGAAGTCTTAGCTCTTGGATCTGTCTCACCACCATCATGGCAAGGAAATGTTTAATTAGGCATCGTTTTTAGAAGATGAACCATTCAAACTCTTTCATTGTTAGAGATGATGTTCAGAATAACAGAGTAATGTCTTGCTGACTACAGACTTAGCACGATCTTTGTTTAACTTATCTTGCTGTAGACTATAATCTCAGTATCAAATGTTTGTCAAAGGCTATGGTATGTTTACATGACTGATAACTTTCAGGTTTTCCTGGAATGCAACATCAAAGAGCTCCACAATTCTATTCTGCTGGCCCAATGCTAGGTTTTGGGTAACAGAAGCATTCTCCTGGTGACAGTGAACCTTCTGAGATCATTTTGTGGATAAAGATCTTCTGATGCAATCTTCTCCTGAAACTGAAAATTGGGCTTCTTCTATGTGCTTGATGCCTTCTCATGACTTCCAGATCTCTAGCCTAACTTTTTCCCATCCTATAGAATATTATGTGGATAAAATATTAAACCTGAAGAATTTGCAAAAAAAGCAGCAACCTTCTGGAATTATGAGTATATAAACTATTGTCTCCATTTGTTATCCTAAGGGACATACTAGACAGATTCTCCGATGCAATAGCACTTAGACTTATATACTGCTTCATAGTGCTTCGTAGTGTTGTGTGTGACCTATGGTGACTTGTCCACTTACCTGAAGGGGACAAAGGAGCAGGCTGATGGGAAGGCTGGAATGCCTCCAGGACCTAACTGGTTCCCTCTACTACCTCCTCATCTGCTGTGGAGCAGCTGACTCATCCCATGAGGAGATTACTGTTCTTTGGGGCAGCTCCCTGGAGCACTTAAGTAACTCACAAGAACAGAGACTTTTCCTGTTTTCCTGAAGCTCCCATCTCTTATCTCTCCTTCTGCTGCCTGGAGCATTCTGGAGTTGAAGTCTTTAGATCTTAAAGTTGCCAAGATTGAGAAACACTGATCTTCTTGTTGTTAGTTGCAAAGTCGTGTCTGACCCATCGTGACCCCATGGACAACTTTCCTCCAGGCCTTCCTGTCCTCTACCATCCCCCAGAGTCCATTTAAGCTCACGCCGACTGCTTCAGTGACTCCATCCAGCCACCTCATTCTCTGCCGTCCCCTTCTTCTTTTGCCCTCAATCGTTCCCAGCATTAGGCTCTTCTCCAGTGGGTCCTTCCTTCTCATTAGGTGGCCAAAGTATTTGAGTTTCCTCTTCAGGATCTGGCCTTCAAAAGAACAGTCAGGGTTGATCTCCTCTAGGCTGACCGGTTTGATCACCTTGCAGTCCAAGGGACTCGCAGGAGTCTTCTCCAGCACCATAGTTCAACGGCCTCCATTCTTTGGTGCTCAGCCTTCCTTATGGTCCAACTTTCACAGTCATACATTGCAACTGGGAAAACCATAGCCTTGACTATATGCGCTTTTGTTGGCAGGGTGATGTCTCTGCTTTTTAGCATGCTGTCTAGATTTGCCATAGCTTTCCTCCCCAGGAGCAAGCGTCTTTTAATTTCTTGGCTGTAGTCCCCACATGCTGTGATCTTGGAGCCCCGGAAAATAAAATCTGTCACTACCTCCATTTCTTCCCCTGATCTAGAGGCCAGCAAATACACCTCCACAGCAGCAGACACACTGTCTTACACCTGAGGCCGGGCTGCCTTGTTTCACCTCAAAGTAAAATCAACCTCAAGAAAGGATGATCACATCAGCTTAGATAACACGTCTCTAGACAGCCTAGATAAAAATCTCTGAGAGGCATTCCAATAAATCACAAGCATAAAAATGCAGGAACACAGAGGTGACTCCAGAGACCAAAGCAAAAAGAAGCCCCCAGTACATATCCACTGATTTTTGGACAAAAGACACAGATATATAACTGTTCTGACTTAGGCTTCCCAAGATCATGAAGCAGACTCCTCATCCAGATAAAACCCCTTTTATTTAATTTAAAGGGAATTCCTCTCCAGCAAAGTCCCAGCCAACAGTCTTTCAAGAGATCTCACAACTACAGACCTTTATCAATCTTGGAGAGCTGCCAGGCCGATATCTTCCATACGCCACTCTGTAGCAGACAGTACTTGGCAAGAAGTCAGGAACAGATCTTCACTCTAATGAATTGAACTAATTGTCTCCTGCAAACTCCCCTCCCCTTTCGCTCCTCTTTACTCCCTATGGGAGGGACCATTCACCGTCCACCTGTGCCTTTACTCCCGAGTCGACCCTTGTTCCTTAGCTGTTTCCTTCTCCTGGCAGCTCTGCATATGCACACACTGGGATCAGGCTTCAGCTGTTCTTCTGCTCCACTGATGTCTGACTCCAAAGGCAGCTGACAATTGTCAGACGGCCCTGGCCCCATCTCTGCCTCCGACGCAGAGCCTTCCCCAGACTCCAGGCCCATGTTCCTCCCCAACCTCCTCACTGTCCGAATCTGCTACCAGATCTGCTGGCTGCTGGCAGGCCACAACAATAACTTGGTGTGTTTAGAGACCCAGATCTGCTTATTGGATTCTGGGTTTCATGCTTTTGCCAACCATTCAGATCTGCATATTCCCTCACCATAAGTATGGGGAAAAGGGACACATGGGTGAATTTGAAGGCATTCACCACCCAGCATTTAACTATCCCTCTTCCATCAGAGGTGCATTCCAACCCATTAACCCAGCACAATAACTATATTCAAATGGGACCCAATGGCGGAGGAAGGCTTAAACGGTAAGTTAATAGCAACTTCAAGTTAATAGCAACTTCACGGATAAATGTGGGTTGTCACGAGGCAGTAAATTATAATTGGAAAACACATTATTTGGTGTAACTTCTCTGTAATTTCTCTCTCCTCCTGGCGTTATTTCGGTCTTTGGCTGATGCGCTTTGGGATTCTTCAATAACAGGTCAAGGTCTGTGAACAGCCACCCTGGAATTAGAAGGCAGGATTTTGTTTGTTGTTGTTTTAAATATCTCAAAGGAACTTGGTGATACCAAAAGGTTTTCCCGCAAAACCTTTGCCCTTCTTGCTCTTACACTTTCAGATTCGGGTTAATGTCAGGGTTCCAAGTAACACCCCCAAGGAAAGAAAACGCCGAGGCTTGAAATTCCTCAAAGCTACATTTTATTAGAAATGGCATATTGGAACATCTGGGAAAACCGCCTTCTTACGAGATCGCCTTCTGCCACCAATAGCCTCCCACCGGCCAGTACGCTCGCACAGAGTGGGCCTCCTCAGGGTGCCGTCCGCCAGACAATGTCGGCTGGCGACCCCCAGGGGGAGAGCCTTCTCTGTGACGGCACCCACCCTCTGGAACAACCTCCCCCCAGAGTTACGTACAATAACAGACCTCCGGATTTTTCGTCGGGCCCTGAAAACCTATTTATTTCAACTAGCTGGGCTGGCTTGAGTTAAATTTTAAATTGATTTTAAATTGGGTTGTTTTAATTTACGGCCAAAATATTTAATTATTTTAATACTGTTTTTTAAATTTTGTATGCTCTGTTTTTTACTTTGGCTGTTCACCGCCCTGAGTCCTATTTGGAGAAGGGCGGTATAGAAATGGAAACAAATAAATAAAATAAATAAAATAAATAAAAACCCGAATCTGAAAGCTTCCAGGTTTTCCCCACCCAAAGAAAAGTTCAAGTTCCTGCCCAACACCCACATGTCCATCACATGGTCCAATCAAACATCGTCCCAACTGGAGATACCTCCCAGTTCCAGTCTTCCAGGTGCAGGGCAAAATGTCTTTGACTTTTTGAGAAAAGAATGTTATTATGACTATATATCCTCCCTCCCAGTTTCCCACAGTAGTAAACATGGCAGGTCTGAAGGCCTAATACAAAAGATGGCTTCCACGCCTGACAAAAGCCACCTATCGTTTTGTTCCTAGCAAAGCTCCAGTTCACTACAGAGTCTTCAGAGAAGACAAGCCTAGAAACTTGTAGAATTTTCAGTCTTAATTTTGTACAGTATTACAGTCTGAATTTTTTATTCAGACTATTTTTGAACTATTTTTTAGTTAGCAACTAAATCATGGATTTCCTACCCTTATTGTTGCAAAGTAAAATTGGTGATGAAGTGCTATTTGTTCAGCTTAATCTGCAACATTCTGTGGATTTTTAAAAACAGAACGATGTTAGTGTTTAGTGGTTGATCTATTCAGAAAAAATTTGGAACACTCTTCCTACTTTCATATTATTCCGTAGCAGTGCATTTCTTGCAGGTTTGCTTGGAAATAAGCCTCGTAATATTCAACGAGGCTTACCAAGAGAGAGCATGGTCCTGAAATAACCACATAAGGGGTCCCACAACATATATACATATTATTTTCATATTCTCTCTCTCTCTCTTTCTCTCTCTCTCTCTCTCTCTCTCTCTCTCTCTCTCACACACACACACACATACACACACACACACACACACACACGGAGGGGGAGAGGGGGATGATTTTAGAAAGTATATAAAACTTCAACATAGAATTTTATAATCATTCATCCATAGATTGATTATATCCCATCAAGCCAGTGTCAACTCTTAAGCACCTCACAGATTCCTTCCGTGATACACTGAATTGTGCAATAGCAACCAAACTTTTTACTCTACATCAGAGTACACTATAAGGCAGCAAAATGCCGCCATTTTCTTTACATAAGGAAACCAATCTCAAGTCTGAACTCTGACATATGTTATCTTATCTTATCTTGCACAAACTGTCCCAGAGCTAAATTTGTTCTGTGCTTTCCACTCTCTCTTTTTGGGTATTTTACTCTCTGTATTCCTTTGAAACATATTAAGAATTAGAAGCAGAAAAGACAAGCAAATACATTCATTTCTTATAATAATATAAATAGACATGAATTCACATATATATTTACATAAGTGATCCTTGATATCCAAACCCTTCCCTTTCCTGTAACAAGCGTTCATTACCATTTAGTTCAAATAGTCTAAGAAAAAAAGTAGTAAATATAGTCATTCCTTTTGCCTTGAAACTCATATCATATCATATAGATTGAACCTCACTCTTCCTTCCTTTAAATTTTGAATTAAGAACCTGGTGGCGCAGCAGACTAATAGCCTGTTATTAACATTCAGCTGCCTGCAATTACTGCAAGTTCGAATCTCCCCAGGCTCAAGGTTGACTCAGCCTTTCATTCTTTCTAAGGTAGGTAAATTGAGGACCCAGATTGTGGGGGCAATAAACTGACTTTGTATAAATATACAAAAGTATGAAGGCTATTGCTTAACTCATTGTAAGCCGCCCTGAGTCTCCGGAGAAGGGCGGCATATAAATCAAATTTAAAAAAAAATATGAATGGGGATATAAACTAATTCCTGCATCTATATTATGTATAGTAGGGATGTCAAACTCAAGGTCTAGGGGCCGGATGCAGCCCCCGGGGTGTTTAGATCTGGCCCAAAGGGCCGCCCTGGAAACAGCGAAGGACTGACCCGCAGTGCCTCTGCCAGCGGCTCACTGGCAGAGGGTTGCAGGAGCCTGTTTTCACTGACAGACCGCTCGGGCCTCCACAGGCGCCCCCGACACAAGTGATGTTGAGCTGGCCTTGCCCACCCTGGCCCCCCGAGGTCAAACACAAACTTGATATGGCCCTCAATGAAATCGAGTTTGACACCCCTGATCTGTAGTAAAATAATATTTCTTTTCTGAAAATTTTAAATAGATAATGATGTGAAAAGGTAGAGGGGAATCCAAAGAGCATCAAATTGTTCATATCGTAATGCTCCCAGTTGCCCTGAATTAAATTGCTGAATCCAGAAAGCCTCACTTTATGCTATTTGATCATTTATTCACATCAGTTTGACTTTGTGTCCTGCCATTATTTTTGTTTCATCTAGATGACCTTATGTGGGCTTGGCAGAAGCTAGATAGGATAGGATGAAATTAGTATGTGATTGGGAGATCTGAAGGCTAAATGGGGAAACTGAAAAGATGTTTTGGAAGACGGCAACGGCATATGACTTCTTTATCTAGGAAGTCACCCAAAATTGAAGCTGAGTTGCTCAATCCCGGTTATCTTTCCAATAACTTAATATTATGTTTGAAGGTATCATCTATCTTCAAAGCTGAATATATAGTCTATCTTCTTCCAATCTGTCCATTAAGGAATTAGCCATTAGTCTGATAATGCTCGATCTGTTACTGCAGAAAATGTGAGCAAGACCTACCAACCACAGTTTCCTCTCTAGGTTGTAGTGATGTCAGCAGGACTGGAGGGGGCATGGAGACGGGCTGCTGATCTGGACAAGAAACTAATTCAGTTTGGAATGGATTCAGAAGGATGGATTTCAGTCACTGTGTCCAGTTAAAGATCTTGTGAACTCATGCAATTATGCTAAGACTATGGTGTGGTTGCAAAGGACGACTTGCCCGTTAAAATGGCTGCATGGGAAAACATTATCAACCATTTGCTTAGCGGCTGTTCAGAGTTAAAATGGCGCTGGGAAAAAATGACTTATGTCCAGTCCTTGCACTTATGACCATCCCAGCATCCCTATGGTCACGTGATCAAAATTCAGTTGCTTGGCAACCGACTTGCAGTTACGATGGTTGCAATGTTCCAGTCATCCTTTCCGACCTTCCCAGCCAGTTTCCGACAAACAAAGCCACTGGGGGAAGCTGGATTCACTTAATGACTGCAATGATTCATTAACAAATGTGGCCAAAAGATCATAAAATCAGGCATGACTCACTTAACAGCTGCCTTGCTTAGCAATGGAAATTCTGGTCCCAGTTACAGTTGTAAGTTGAAGACTCCTTGTATATGTATGTATCTTAGATTGTTTTTATTGGACATCTCAGCAAATATTTAAGAAAGTTTGGAATTATTGTGGAAGTAAAGATGACAATGGTGACCAGTGCCCTGCCTGCAGTGAACAGAACTGCAATTTCTGAGATGATGCAAATCCTCCCTGCAGACGAGAAAGTCGCAATGCAGCTCCATATTCTATATGTACTTTAGAGTCTCATAAAAGTGCATAAAGTGGGCTGCAAGCGGTTATTGCTGTGTTTTTATTTATTGCACGGCTTTGCAACACGTATGCTTAACATCCACTGTAGCCTCAGAATGAAGCAATCTGAGTGAGAAACAAGGGAATTACGGAAATCATCCATTAACTGCTAACCCACAAAGGCCCGGAAAGAAATATGCAGAAATCTCCACCAAACAAGTAGGCTTATTTTCCAGAAAAACAGATGAGATAGACCAGATCCTTCAGAAGTGCCGATAGGATTCATAAAATTAAATGATTCCATTTACATTAAATACTATCCAGCCCAGATAGGGTTGCCAGGTCTGCTTCCAAAAAATAGCGGATAAGTGGGGGGGAGGGGGGGTGTTAAGTAGTAAAAAAATTTAAAAAAAAATTTACAATTAAATTATATATTTTCTTACAAACAATTTAACACGTATTAAAATAATCACTTCAAAACTTTACTTAAAATTCAAAACATCAAATATATTATAATAATATGTAAAATATTAAATTACATTTTACTTTGCGGTCGTGTATATTTCTTATTTGACTGCGCAGCTTTGATCAATTCTTTGTGTTTAAGGAATAATTCTTTAATTTCAGTACAACGTTGAGAAATATTAAAAAATATATAAAGTTCACTTCAAACTGATGGTACAAGCAGTCGGTTACGTTTGTCAGTCCACAAATTTCCCATGACGCTGAAAATTCGTTCAACGTTTGCATTTGATACCGGAATTGATGCACAATACTGGAACAGTTTCAGTAAACTCGGAGCTGGCTCTTTCTTGAAAAAGTACGTCCACTTATCAAGGGATGAATCGCCCTGCAGATGAACATAAACTTCTTCTAAGGCAGAAATTTCATTGAAGAGAGTGTTGGGTGGAAGTTCTTCTCGCCATGGTGATAATAACCAGATGTTCGTCATT